TCAGCTCCAGGTTGGGGCCACGCAAGATTCTTGGCGTTGTTGCGATGTTGGTGGCGACTCCCGACTCGCGACTCGCGACTCGCCACTGACAGAGGTTGCCCTCGTACGTAATCGGCGAGCGCTGCGAATGCTTTTGTGCCGTCTGTTTCGTCTGTCGCGCTGCCTTCTGCTGCGCACGTGGCCAACTTGGTGACGCTTGGCCCCAAACACACCAACAACAACAGCTGCAGCAGCAGCAACAACAACAACAGGGTCAGAAAATCATTGAAATGTCGTTAGAGGCTCGAGCGGCACGCGGCCAAGATAGTCAGCCGAACCGCAAAATGCTTTTAATTTCTCAAACTGATATGTATTTACTGTACAGTGCGCACAGCCACGAGGGGCACACACGAGCGGCAGCTAAACGTGTGCGGACAACAGCTAAACAGCAGGAGTCGGAGCAAACTCTGCGCAGACATCTGACTTTGTGTGTGCCACGACTGGAAATAGTTCAAGGAGTCCGCATTGTTCAAATAAGTTTCATTATCAGCTAATTATATATATAACTATTAAGAATTGGTTTCCTATGACTCACAGTCCGTCGTATAGCGTAAGTCTTGTATTTTAGCTTTATTATGGCTAAATTAGCGGAATCTCAAAGTATTAAGTGTTTCATGGGTCACAGCTCCCGAAGAGGCAGAGATCAATAAGCAAAATTGACTAGGCATAAAGGTAATCCTTGAATGAAATCTCATTTGAATACAACTTATTAAATATATCACGAGTATTAAGGGTTTAAATTTGACAAAAATAGTAAGATCAGAGCTACAGATAGTTTAGGGAAATAAAATAAAGTTAAAAATGCATTATATGCTTAACATATAATTCAATGAATCAAGACCTTAAGGTTAACGCCTAATCTTGTGAGAAACTTGATACTCCATTATTGAAGATCGCTATAATTTATGGTGAATGCCACGCCTCCTTTTAGCTGTTACAGACTGCCCATTGTAATGGGTATACAACTATATGCTGATAAAAATTAAACTGGTGCCAATAAACTTACATTTTGCGTTTTTATTACTTTTATTTCGGTCTCTTACATATTTACAATATATATAACAGCATATATATAACTCTCTCTCTCTCTCTCTCTATATCTGAGGCGTTGGCGTTTAAGATGCGCAGGTGAGCGACCAAAGAAGGTAAACACCCGCGCAGTTAAAATCTACGCATATTGCTTAGCTATATATAAGTATTGTATAAAGTGGCGTAAAGTTGCTTAACGCCAACAACAGCAACAACAACAACAATAACCGCAGCGACAAAAAACAACATTAGCAACAATAACAAACTGAAAGAACAACCCACTGCAAACGGACAATTAACCTTGGCTGGGTTGAAAGAGAAAGAGAAAGAGACAGCGATAGAGAACGACCTACAGCAGCCGCGGGCAATAACAAGCTATGAAGTTTATCAGTCAGCTGCAGCAGCAAGGGTATCACAAATCGTGATGACAAGCCTCTTACATACCCTATAAACAGTAAAAAGGGGGAATGGTAAAAGATTGACATAGAGAGAGAGAGAGCGAGAGAGAGAGAGCGAGAGAGAGAGAGAGAGAGAGAGAGCWAAAAGTCACAAATGCAAGGAAAGTGACGAGCAGCAAAATGGAATTCAATTAACTGGAACAATTAAATGTGGAAAACGTTTTCATACCATAAGACATTTAGAAACACACAAGATGACAAAAATTTAATGATACAACGGACATAGTCCCAGTCACAATCGAAAAGCGAGTGAATGAGTGGAATACAACGTAGCTTCTAGTCGATCATTAAGTTGAAGCAGCACACCTACTTCTGTGTTTCTGTTTTGTTATGATCCGGAGCGGCGTTGGTGTCACACCCACAGCATTTGCGTGGTAGCTGCTGCTGCGCTGCTGCGCTGCTGCGCTGCTTCGCTGTTGCGCTGTGCTCGGCGTTCATTCATCGTCTCCAGTTGGAGCTGAATGAAGCGAGTGAGACGATTGAAGCGACAGCTGTTGGCTGCCTGCTTGGCGCAGCCGCAAAGAGTGGCTCGACGGCACACGTCATCGGGCCAGCTAAGAGATGCCATGAGGCCTACGCGACTGCCAGCTGGCCTGGCCTGGTCTGGTCTGGCATTGAAAAAGCGCGCGCGAGCGCGAGCGCGATTTGCATGCCAAGTGGGAAGCGAGGGGCCGGAGAGGGCAGCTGCTGATGCATGACTTGGCTCTTGGACGAGCCAATTGCTGTTGATCGATTTATGAACTCGATGCGAGTCGCTCATGACGTCACAAGCGGCACGCACAACCTACATGCGGCTATCAGAGGCTCTATTGTCGAGCCGAGCCGMGTCGAGTCGAGTCGACGGACGTAGCGGGCAGAGCGCCTCAGGCACTTTTAATAGCACAAGCGGAAGCTTTAACAGCGCAGATAGCACAAGCGTATGCAAACACAGATACACACACACACACATACATACAGATACAGATACAAGTAAAAGGCAAGCAGTTACAGATACAAATTCATTCAGCTGCGCCTGCCCACTCGCCGGCTGCATCGTGTTTTTTTTCTTCTCATTTTGAATAGTATCTTTGAGATGGATTTGCGTGTAGGCTAACAAGAAGCTAGCTGGTTATGTAAGATCTTCACCTTGATCTTGAAAAGCCAAAACTCCAAATTGGAAACTGGGAAACGTTGGAAAAGCTTCACTTCTTCTCTTTGAGCACAAGTTGCGGCAGTTATTTGCGTCGTTTTCAAATATTCTTTACGTTCGTTTTTTTTATTATTTTGTAATATTGAGCTAAATAATATATATATACACGCACATATATGTTTATATGTATATATGCACGCGTGCATTCGTATAGTTACTATATTTGATTTTTAAACATAATATATTTTTTACTTAGGCTAAAAACGTTTTGTTAATTGTGTTTTTTTAATGTTTTTTTGTTTTTTTGTTTTTGTTTTTTTTTTTTTACATCTAAAATTAATTGCACTATGAATATTTATTATAGAATTGCGGTTTTGATTTCTGTTTTGTTTCTGTTTGACAGAAATGTAATCTGCATTAAATTATCTAATTTATTTTTTTCAATTTAATTTAATGTTTCAAACATGTTTTTATTAATATATTGTAGTATATTGCTTGCAAATGGCTTCATTTTTGTTATTCCTTTTTATTTACTATTATCTATTGTCATGCCACACAAGAATGAAATACTTTGAGCTGCTTCGTAATTTGGTTTTGTTTTTAATTTTAACTAAAATTTTCATAAAAATATACAATAAATATTAGTAGACAGAGAAGCAGGCAGCTCAAAGGGTAAGATGATTCAATTCGATTTGCGAGTTGGATTTGAGTTTCGGCCTAATGGTTAAACGAGAACTGCCAGAGTTTATACGTAGCGTATTTTTTCTTGATATAATCCTGACACTTTTAGCCACAATATATATAATTTAGTTTCTCAACCATTTTAGAAGTGAACCTAAGCTCTTAAGAAATGGAAAATTATTATATTAATGCAGAACTTTCTTCTGAGATATCCATTTGATGATTTGATTTTAAAAAATATGGCTAAAACGTAATTTATTAATATTAATATTTATAAATATACTTTTCAGATCAGATCATTTTCAATTTCAGATCATTTTCATACCTTCGAAGGGAAGAGTGTCTTTCTTTTGCAGTGAGTTTCGAAAAACTGACACGCATTCGATTCAGTTATTTGATCATTATTGATTTGCAATAAATCGCCACGCATAAACTCACGTTCATTATGCAAATTGAAAAATTCAGTAGCTGTCATAACTATGAGAGCCAGAGCCAAGCTGGCAAATCGAATTGAGTACTATATATATATAGATATATATATGTTGGGGAAAAATCAGATAAACTATATAAATTATAAACAGTGCTAAGGTAATGCTAAGACGATGATAATATTCACTCAAAACAAAAAATATATATTGCAACTACTATATCATATAATAAACGATTTGTTTTACTGTTTTGGAGCACGCTCATCGCACTGGGGGCCGCCCTGCACATATTCCTTTAGAAAAAAAAAAAAAAAAAAAAAACAGTTGGGATCATCCCTAACAAAATGTAGTTTTCTTTACATTAGACTCTGCGCAGCAAATGATTATACATAGAGTGACTCCTCTGCTCCTTTCATTTCATTTAGTTTAGTTCGTCTAGTTCTGTTTATTGCACTTATCCTTAAGGACTAACTAAAGCAGTCTCGGCTATCTGGTCGTGTTTTCAGGTGTGTCTGTTCGGTACGAGAGTTGTCTGGTAGAAACGCTATAGAATGATGGCACTGGGTACGATTCGGCTCGGTTGTATTTGCTGCGGCCGATGCTGAATGGCTATGGCTATTGGTGCTGCAATGGCCACGTATGCAGGTTGGCTTTGCTATGGCACAGGCGCCTTCAAGTTGGGTTTTGACTAGTATTAACAAAAGATATGCTTTAAATGAGCTGCCACGCCCACTGCGATAAACAACAAAATGAACGGGCGAGATCATCAGGTGCGAGACTGTCCCCTCAATCATAATCCCCCTCCCGTTGCCGCGCCGACTCATGCACTTTGGATCTGCTACACACACACACACACACACACACACACACACACACACACACACACACACACACACACACACACACACACGCACTCACACACTCAGCTATACCTAGGCCTATGCATATGCCTACGTCTATGTAGAGAGAGAGAGATAGGAAGAGGGGAGGTCTGAGTCCCTAGCGCTGCGCATGCGTATGCGACATGTGCGAGTGCGTGGAATGCGGCGGCGGCACGTGTGGCACGTGCGCGTGGTGCGCATGTCCGCCGTAGGCCTGGGCGTGCGACAGGGGCGAGGCCTGGCCACCGGTGTAGCCGGACTGCATGAGGCTCTGCTCGAGGCTGTAGTGCGAGGGCGGCGCCTGGGGGTGTGCGAGATGAGCGTGCCCGTGATGGCCGTAAATCAATTGTCTTACTTTGGTGTCCTCGTCGGCGATGTTGTAGCTGAGCTCCGTCTCCTCGAAGCCCGTCGCGGACATGCGCTGATCGCCGCCGCCCACGCTCGGCGGATCCGGCGAGTTCAGGCACGTCTGTATCAGCTGCTTGCCCGCCTCCGACGTTATCATCGGCTGCAGCTTGCGCGTGGCGAATGTGTACACGTGACCCGTCTCACTGGCCACCAGCAGCATCACCTGGGTCCCAGTCAGCGTTGACAGCTCGTAGGCCTGCAAAGGAACGGCAAGGAGGTGTGATTAGAGCTGATTAGATTAGGTTCGCTAGCCCCACGTACTCGCTGCTGCCCCAGCCGCAGGCGGCACATAAATTTACAGTCAAACTATGCGATTACGTGGCATCGATATCAGATCGCGCCAAATGCGGTTTCTCCAGCTGGCGATGAACTCGAGACATCCAAATAATTATACTCTATATACTCGCAAACATCGAGAGACAACGATAGTTCACAAACAAAGTGCTGACAGCACTTCAGTTACTCGATATACACATATACTCTCGATGTATGAGCAGCATACTCTTCTTAAATCAACCAGTCGAGAGTTACCGACTAACAGATACTCGGACCGAGCAGCGTTCTCAGATGTACTTGACATCTGGTGTCTATGCACGGCAACACAAAGCACTCGCAGTGAAATCCGAGAAGTCTTTAACCAAACATAAAAGTTCAGAAATGAAATGCTACATGGCTAGGAGTTGAGCTCACAGCTCCTCTCCATACCAATACCACAAATCATAATTAAAGTATTAGCTGATAATTTAAGTACAGCTCAATTGCATAGACGAGGGAGAATCTCATTTCCACTTGAGAAATTGATTGAATATTTTGCAATTTAGAGAAAATTCTGCATTTTAAAGAAATTGTTAGAACGGCCAATTGAGTATTCACCGCATATTTACTTATTTATTAGAGGTCAGAATTTATCCAATATATGTAAAAAGTCAAGATTGTATGAAACATACATACATGAAACTGAATGCAAGATTTTCCAATTTTTACTCCAAAGACGAATGAGTCGATAATTCACGTTGTAATCGACATCAATAAATGGTAATAGTTTTCGATTATTGAAGCCAATTCGATCTGCGTGTGCCAGAGCTGAGCAACGAAATTGTCTTTAGCTCTTAAAAGCTTTCAGGTCGATGAGTTCATTCATACGGAAAGACGAATAGACAAGCAGATGACTCTGCACGCGTTCGTTTGTCTGTAGAATACATTTTCAGAAAACTAATATTCCCTGATTTTCCATTCAGACCAAAAGTTTTCGTTTCCTCAGTTCTCACGCTACGTGAGCGAAATCACGCGCTCATCTCTAATGTAGATATTCAAAGCACACTGCTCCGGGCCGGTAGACGGTAGCTTAAGCTAGCTATCAACAGCTCGTAATTACTTCAAGGCGATAAAGCTGCTCTGCGGTGCAATGCCGTGCAGAGTTCTCAGCAGAGCCAGCGGCTCGACGCATAAATAACTCTCAAGCGAGGAAGTCGCGCGAGAACCGCGCACGAAACGCGCGAGTGCGAGTGCGAATGCGAATGCGAGAGTGAGCATAGCATAGCATTTATTAATATTAATGAAATTGTTGTGCACATTGTTGCCGTGGACGTTGCTCTGGTTGCCAATCTCTGGCAGGGCTGCCAATTTTATGTGTAACATGTGTAAATGCAAACAATTGACACGGACCGGGCCGCTGAGTGGCTGAGTAGGTGTCTGCGATGCAGGCAGATGAGGACAGAGGATTCGGATTGGGATTGAGGCTGAGGCTGGGGACAGGGACTGGGGTGAGGCTCGGCAGCAGCGAGCGGGCCAACAATTCATGTCAATTTGAATTTCGAACACAAAGACAAAGGACATGATGTAGCTAGAGCAGCCCGGGAGAGGGGCTGTGCGTGCTGCTTGCTGACAGGACAAGCCCCAGAGACCGCAGCGAGAGGCAGAGTCATTTGTTAGAAGGCGATTGTTGCTGTTGCTGCTGCTGTTGCAGTTGCAGTTGCAGTTGCATGTGCCCAAAAGGCGAGCCGACGCAGCCAAACTGTCGGCCCTGTGCCTTCTCGCTTATCTGTGCACAATCTGCCGCTGCTTTAGCTGCTGCTGCTGCTGTTGCTGCTAAGGCTGAGGCTGAGTCTGAGGCTGAGGTTGGCTCTGCTGCCAGGGGTCTCAATATGCTTCCGTGCAGTGAACAATTCCCAAGCTAAAAGCTTGGCCCCCAGCTTGGCCTCAGGCTCGCAGCTTGCGCGCAGAGCGCGCCTCGTGATTTCAATTTAACACCTTTTGGCGGCATTTTGCGCTTGCCTCTGTCGGTGTCCCATTGTTGCAAACGTTTTACATGGCAAACGACAGGGCAGCCAGGCAGGCGAGCAGCCGAGCAGCCGAGCAGCCGAGCAGCCGAGCAGACAGACAAACAGAACGGGCAGCCACACACGTGTGTCCCACTCACATACACACACACACACACACACACACACACACACACACACATTCACACATACACACAGACCCTGCATCCTCTGCAAACTCTCTTCGCAGAGCCAATGCCTCAGCCTACGCAATTAGGCCAGGCCTACAAATGAGATCATGCGTTGGCATTAGCTCACTTTTCACTTTTGGCCTTTTTCGGCCACTTGGCACGCCCACGATCAGAGCTCGGTTTCGATCACTGTTTTCCGTCTCGTCTTCTTTCTGCTAGTAGCTCTCGCTAAATGTCTAAAATTGGTATTGGCCACAGGTTGCTTTCGCAGCAGTGGCGTCAACCTCTGCCAGTCAGCAGCGAGCAGCGAGCAGCGAGCAGCGAGCAGCGAGCAGCAGCAGCAGCACCAGAATTCAGCGGGTTCAATAACCGCAATTTGTTGCCAGGATGCATGTGTGTGCATCTCTATCTGTATGTGTCTGTGCGTCTGTGTGTTTATATAGCGCCAAGCCCATTGTCTGCTTGTCAACTGTCCGCGCCGTGGACATCGATGAGGGCCACATCAAAGTCACTAAAAATATATAACAAAACTTCTGTCCCTGTCAAGAGGCGCGCGCCTGTCATAAGTAGGCCCCCAAAGTCAGCCAACAAGAACCACCGCAACATGAGGAGGAGTCGCCACAAAAGTCAGCAGGAAACTCGTATCTCTCGGGTCAAATATTTTAGCGATGCGCTCGCACCGAATCATATTTTCGAATAGATGCAGATGCTGAATATTTATCTTATTATATAAATATCGTTTAACAGTTGATTAACCCAAAGAGATGCCAACATTCCTTAGCCATTGTGTTCAAGGTAAATATTTGATCTATCCCCTCAGGAGGTATTTGTTACTTATACAGTTAGTGCCGGGATTAGAATTCTTGGATCGAGTACATTACGTTGTTTGCTTAATCGAATCTTGTTTTTAATTCATATATATTTTTTAAGTTATTTAATTATTTATTCATACATATTTTGATAAAAAAATAAAAATAAATAAAAAAAATAGACCCAATAAATTGGGGCTTTGATAACATTCCCAATTCTAGTCGACAGATCATTGATTTGTTTACACGCCCCCACATTGCCTTTGGCGAGGGTATAAACCGAGCCGAAGACAACTTACAAGGTTTTTTCCTTTTTACGAAACGAAAATATTTCATAAGATTTGGCTAGCTGTGCCTGTAGTTAAGATCGTGCTGAGATCGTGATTTAACTCTGGCGAGTTTCCCATTTTTTCTAGTCTTTGTTGTTGTTTGTTTTGATCGCAGCGACTTTGAGGCCAAGAAGTCTATTTAAAAATGTTAAGCATTTCATATGCGAGCTAAGCGGCGCATTATGTAAGTTTGCGTGTGAAAATTGGTCATTTGAAAGCAACGAAAGCCGCAGGAATTGGCCAAGCAAGCAGCCGGCTAGGAAGCAGGCTGAGTAGAAGGCGAAGCCAGTTGCAGTTGCAGTTGCATCTGCCATTACAATGAGGCCGAGCGACACGCAACTGCACAGGACGTCAATTGAGATCAGCATGTGTATTGCTATAGCTTATATGTACATATGTACATATGTACATACATATATATATATATATA